AATGTTGAAATATTTTATCTTTTTGCAAATTTTTGCTGTCTCAAAACTGGGTCAAATATGTGAGATGTACCCTCTTCCAAAATCAGAGAGTTGGTGATAACATGTTTTGGTGCATTGTAATACCTTGAAAAGGATATGTGATGTCTTTCCAATAATGTAGCAAATTTACTAAATCTGATAAAAATGATCAGATCCTAGACTGGAGTAGGATATAGCAACAACATTTTGCTTCAGAATTTTCCATTAGAAGTATCCATTATTCCTTCCAGAGCCCAGTGTTATGTAGGTTATTGCAGGTGGTTGTGATTATGTGTACCTTAGCATATGAAATCAGAGAGATATAGAACAGGTCCAAGAAACAACAGAAACAAGTGGGTCTGGAATTATTTTGTAATTATTTAAGCATGGGTGTTCCTTAGTCCCCATTAAAATATCCACTTGTGCTACACAATTCTGGCATCACAATGAGTTACCCAAAGTTAAAAAGAGATTGGGAGGGAATATAATAGGGGAGAAATGTCAAAATTGCCATCTCTTTGAGATTGGTCTTCTTCTATGTACTGAAAAGCAGTGAGTTTGTCAACGCTGTGATTCACAATTGAATTAACTAAATTTTTTTTGACATGAAAAAGGATGCTTTTCAATCTGTTGATAAAATCTTCTATACACACCTGTTACACAAAAGTGTGACTGTGCCCCGTAGAGTGTAATGTGGGATGTTTTCCTTTCTTTCTCCTTTTATTACTAAAATTGTGTTCAATCTGGACATCTTGGGTGTCTTTTACACCTCTCAATTAGCAGTGGTTTATCATGATACTATAAAAACTGATGTCTTTCTCTAAGACTCAACATGTGAGGTTCAGGTTATAGCAAGCAAGAAAAAGGATCTTTCAAAATGAGGCCCCTCACCAGGGGGGGTTCAGGGGATTCTGAAAATTTTATCTAGGTACACAAAGATTTTGCAGTAAAAGGTCCACTTTTTCTGAAAAAGAACCCCTCCTTTTGAAATTGCTGGCTACAGGCCTGAAAATGGTACATTAAATATGACCAAGAGGAATAAGAAACCAATATTGCCAATGTATAGAAAGGGATATATCTTTATATTATTAAAATCCAAAAAGCTTATTTAAAGATAAATGGCTTTTTTTTCAGAAAATCAAATAATAGTGTCACCTGTTTCTAATGCCTGTACACAATGCATCATGTAGCATTAAATTGTTGTACACTTGTTCTGTACATACCTGTCATGCAGTGTGGTCAAATTTTTCTTCTTTGCCTGATCTGTTCACTCAGTGGCTGTGATCATCACTAATTGCATTTGTCTGAGGCAAGTTTTGAAAGCAAACAATCAACACAGTAAGACGGCCCAGATTACCTCAAAGAGCAGCTGAATTTGACACACACCTGAAGCTGAGGAAACATCCTTCATTTATGATCAGGTTTCTGGTGAAGTGTGTCTCTGTGGTCCTATTCATGCAGCTTTTTATTGGAATTTGAATTTTATCATTTTTGCTTTTGAATAAATAATGGAAACTTTAAATACAATAGGTGACACAAAGTATGGATATTTTATAAACTAGTCTGGCACAGATTAGATGAATTGTTTGCCTGTCTTCAACGTATGTAAGAACAGCCACAATCAATCTCCTTGAAAGTATCTTTGGTTCACAAATGACCGAGCAGTGACACTATAGTGTTCTTACTCTTGAGGAAAACTCTTCATGTCCATTGGACTGAAGTGGTCTTGAATTTATTCTTCTGAGATAATCCTAATCTCTGAGAACAGTCTTTGGTGGAGAAGACCAAATAAGCATGAATCGTTTCTGTTCTGCAACAAGTTTAGTGCATTCATATAGATAAACTTTACTATAGGTTGAGTGCATTACATTTCACAGATTCTGAAAATAAAATGAGCTTGAAACTTTTGACTAATATCAGCGAAGTGTGTTTGAATGAAGGATAGTCATATTTGGGCCAGCACAATGTGCTGGGTCACAATGGAATAACCAAGAGCCTAACAGAAATGCTCTGCAGGATGATCCAGGTGAATTGACATTAAGACTGCAAACACACACCTATTATGATGAGCACCTTGGTTGGTACTTGAAAATATGCCTTTAAGTCAATGACCAAGTATCGTGATGGTTAAGTGTAAGATTAATGGTAAAGAAAACCTCTCATTTTAACAACCTTTGTGACAATTATGCTTAAACGTGAAAAAAGTACACCTATTACTCTAAACAACTTAAGTGAAATTTACTTAAAACCAAATAAAAGTGCAACTATTATTCTAATACTTGAGGTCCATTTCTGAAAGAAAATGTGTGTCAAGTAAAGTTGAAGATCTATGTTTGTTGAACAAAACACTTCACTTGATTTGCAGAGTGTTCACATTCAGCAGTGTTTCAGAATAAGGCCAACTATTTCTTATATTATAAGATGTACTATTTATGGAAGAATTAAGCAATGCATATAGTGGGGCAAAGCTGGGCGACTTGAAAATTTTTCATTTATCTGCTTTAACATTACCTTTAAACTTTAAAATGTTAATGCTAAATCTTAATCCTCACTCATTTTTGGGGAAAAAACATCCAGATCGGATGGAAATACGACTTGCTCTAAAGTATCATTATGATAAAGCATTCTCATTATTCTCAGTGCTTTTGCATTTTTATGCACTTATTTGTAATCTAATAAAACTTTGTGAAAAAAAATAATAACAATGCATAAAGCAGTAGAGAATCATAGTATGTAAGTCAGATTAATAAGAAGACAATCAGTTACAAAGCACTCTTTTAAAAATTATAAGGTGAATAATTAGGAAATTTCAGAGAGCCAGTAGACACAGGCTGTACCCACGTCATTGAAAATAAAGCATTGCTTCTGAAGATAAGTTCAAATGGGATTTTAGGAGATTTCTGAAAAGAATGATAAAAGTTTTAGTACTTTACTAATGAAAAATTTGCATTGTACAAAACTTTACTGTGGGATATCATTTCAAACGCTTTCCAAATTGAAATCCATACTATTACTCTCCAAGAGGATGCAATCCCCCAAGCTTAGCATTGTGTATGTTTCAGGGAAACTCATTATTGGATTTTCAGGAGAGAAGGTCTGCAGGTTTACCTTTTCACTGTGAAAATGTCAGTTGCTGCAGCCTCAGATTATGTGGGATGTTCACCACTGGCATGGCTTAGGCCACACTTTTTACTGAAATGTTTAAAATGTTCAACAAGGAAGACCAAGAATGTTTTTGGGAAAACCTAGTTTTCAATTATCACATTTTTTTATTAAAGGTAAATAAGTCCTTAAATAAGTCCAAGAGGTTATTTTTCAGATAATAATGTAAGTTCCTCTAATTATTTGTGTTGAGGATAATTAAGCATAAAGAGCAAGACTAATTTACGTAATCTATTGAAAGTCAATCTTTAAATGTGAAAGAGATTATAGAATAATTGTTAAGGCGAAGGGAAAAAAATTCTATTTTCTATTTTCCAGATAATAATGTAAATTCCTCTAATTATATGTGAAAAATATAATCAAACACAAAGAGGAAGGCTAATTTATGTTGTCTATTGAAAGTCATCCTTTAAATGTGAAATAGATCATAGAATGATTGTAAGGCCAAAGAAACCGAATTTTTGAAAGAACTGCAGTATAGCAGCTGGGAAAGTACTTGAGCACTAAAACTTAATAGCTTGTCATCAGTCTTGAGACATTTTATGACTGCTTGCAGTGTCCATTACAGTGGCGTGACAATGTTATGTGTTCGTGGTCTCTAAAGTTGACCACAGTTTACAGTTAAGGTAACGCCACTTACTATTTCCTACAGCCAGGAGTGTTTTGAGGTTTCAGATTGCGTTTGATTGACTCACCAGAGGTCACATATAGGGGACGTTTTCATTTATTTAGACAAGGGACAGACTGACGTTTGTAATAATTGGTCTCAATTTGATACTCTTTGCTGTTGTGGATCATTACCAATGGCTGCCACTAGTGGTGGTAGGTAATGAGGGGGCAATGATATGGTCAATGGATGCCGTCTGTGTGCAGCATTGGAGACGTGTTGACATTCAGTCTGATGATAAGCTTACTCTCTTTCCAGGTTTTATGTTTCCTATTTGTCTCCTACAAAATTTATGCCCACAATTGATTGAGGCGACACACATGATTTAATAGTATAAGACTGAGTGAATGTATATAATAAAAGGTAGAACAAGAGATGTGCATATTTGTTTACATGAAAATAGTGTCAATATTGAAAGTAAGAAGTAAAAATATTCATGTGATATTATGTTAAGTTTCATGATAAACCCTCCATCCTATTCAGATATAATTCAGGAAATTCATTTTTTTCATGTACCACCTTTGACCACAACCTCTATATCAATTGCTACCACTGTGTAGTGTATTGTTACGGTATAATTACAGCAGTGGCAGTGCAATTATATTATAGTATGATACACTGTTACAGCTAACCTGATGTTGAATTCATTGGTATCTCTCCCAAGTGTTAAATATTTGACAGGTGATGGCCAAGAAACTTCTGGGGAGAAAAACTAATTAGCTAAGAGATGACAGTATCACAGGAATCATCAGTTTAACTTGGCATGTGTAGAATCCAGCAGGCTTTTGACCAAGATCCACTGATACAGTTTCATTAGTATCATAATTCACCAGGCAGAATGCACAAGCATGAACATTGTGGTGTTTGCTTGTTACCCACTTGGTGGCAGCACTGTAGGTGCAAGTGGAACAAGTGTGACCAGTCAGTTTTATGAATTTAATTTATGGTTTTATTGAAGAGTCTTGTCAGTTGAAAAATCTGGACATTAGACCTTTTTCGAATTAATTTTCCAAAGGGTTAGCTCTTAGAACTTTCTAGCCGAGGTGAACCAAGTGGTATCCAGATGGCAGGTACATTTGAAAGTTTTTGACGGAATTGTTTTTTTTTTTCCTTTCTTGGTCGATGTGTCAGCTGCATTGTTCTTTAATGAAACAGACAGGAGTGGTGGAGAGCTGACGGAGCATTCAGCTCTCTCTGGTATCACTTACATAGTTTTACCAGCAGGACTGTCATTGGCTTATAAGAATTGCTATCAGGAATTTTAATCATTCCAAACCCCTTTGGGACCCAAGATCTATAGGGAGACATTTGATCAAAATTGAGTGCAGGGCATACATACTAAAAAGTGTGAACTAAGTGAACTTTGCATTATGTTTGGTACAGCAAGGCAGTTAGTTTATGGATACGGCTACACATGTGAAGAGAGCAAATAGTAGCCAGAGAGAGGACAGGAAAATATTTTGGATTGGAATTTTGAATGTTCTTTAACTGCCATCAAAAGGGGTGGGAGCTCAGTGTAGTAAATCAAGAAAAACATACAGTTAATGTTGGTGTTTATTTGAAGATCATAGCAGAACACTATTGGATGTCATGATCATGAAGCCCCACCTCCAGTATTACCATAAAGATCCATAAAGAACATTGAGAGAGGCCTAGAGGGAGGGCTGTTGCTATTCATGGACTACAGTGCAAGATCAATTTCATTGATGGGGACCTGCCTATAGAAGTGTCCAATATGGAACATTTATTAATCCTATCCCATCCTGGGGATGTGTACACAGGAAAATTGTGTTAAAGAACACCACATCTTCTTGGCAAGGGAAAACTGCCCAGCAAGACTATTATAGAGGAAAGCATTCTGTAAGAGTTTTCCACACACACATGCACACGCACATGATGAAAGCCACGACAAGACTGACTGTGAAAAGAGGAAAAGTGTGTTTTTATTTTTAGTTTGCCTCAGCATGGTGGTCATGAGCCTCCGTGCTGGACTTGATTACAGCAGAGAGCTGACTGCTGGGCCTCTGGAGCTAAAGCTGATGTGCTGTGAAGATATTGTTATTACGTAGAAAACATACTCCCAGGACTGTTCGGATATATTTCATTGTTTCTCAAACCCCACCAGTTAGAGCCACCTACCTATATCCACCACCTGGGAATAGAGCCATGGGAAATATCAGCACTGTGACCAATGCCTGTGGAATATTATTGTAATAACGTGTATTGTTGTTTATAGTCAACACTAGGAAAATCAGTACCATCCAGGAATTGCGCCATAGGATTGTTTAAGGGGATTTATACACATACTTCTTCTTTATACTACCAGTACTACAAGTATGACTAGAAAGGCATAGGTGGATTAGATATATTCTAACAAGTGTCCCTTGCCTGCTGCGCTATGATCATGAGTGTAATGCTGTGGACTTGGGAGAAAAATAATGTGCGCATTAAAAAGGTTAGTGCTGTGTTTGTATTGAGATTAGGCTGTATAAAATATATGTGCACCTTGAAAGATGTTAGCAGAGCAAAAGCATGCTTCTGTACATTTTGCTGCTATTTTTTTAAAAAAGTGATACTCATCACAAGGAAGAACTAAGGTAAAGTGTATTCCTTGAGTTGAAGTTATTGAACATGTTGAATTATATGGGATGTTTAGCTTCAGTGCCCTTTATTTGACCAATTGTTTATATAACATGTAATTTCCTTTATCATATTTGAAGCTAAGACATTGTTGATAGGGGATGATAGCAATCTTTCTTCTTTCTTAAAAGCTGAAATGAAGTCATTTTATGGTCTCCAAGATACAGTCATTCAGCCTTTTACTTTGTCTTGTCAGAACAGCTTTTGTCTCCAGTACTGTTACCTTCCTTCCCCTGCTTTATTTTGTTGTTTTGAGGCTTCAGGCAAGGGCGGCAAAGGTGGTTTTTACAAATGGGGATTGGGTGACAGGCCATTTTTGGTTGAAATCAAGTTAAACAGCCTAATGAAAACAATCAGTTCAGGCTATGTGTTTTTATGTATGAAAGGTGAGGAGATTGCCCCAGAGAAAAGATCACCTTAGATGATATGTGGTTCATAATTTGAGTACAGTTGTCTTGAAATAAGGGCATTGCTGGACATTTGGAAATTTCTCTTCAAAAAATCAACCAAGAGATATTGTTTACAGTTAGAGTTATATTTTATGATGTTTAGTATTTGTGTTAAAAGCTTTAATGGAGTAGAATAAGTTTAGTTCATGATGCTTCAACAGGTTTGTTTTATTGCCCAAAGCAGAAGTTGAGGTTCATACTATTTGGAATAGAAACTGGACAGGAGCATACCTTTTATCTACTCTACACTTTCTTTCAGTATATGTTTTGTGTCCTGTGTATTTGCCAAAATCTATACTCATTTTCTGCACATTAAACACAAGAGTGGCAGAGTATCAAGATCAAAACATGGGCTTGGTGTGGACAGAAACCATGGAGCGGAAGCACAGAAATCACCAAAACATTCCGGAAATGTAAAAATTTCCAGCTGAGCACTTTTCTAGTTCAATAGCCTCACATGTCTTGACATAAGTGTGTTAGTAGATTAAAACTATTGAACACTGAAAAGGAAGAACTGCCCACGGTCAATAGCTGATAGTGTGGCAGAGGACACACTTAGGCCATTAGAATAATGAAAAGGGATTGGTTAGAGAGGTTGTTTTAATTAATCACCTGACAAATGTGTGTGCTGAGTATTTCACAGTGTGTGGGCAATTTCTTAATCAAGATGGAGTATTAAGGCTAGAGCTGCTGTTTTAATCATGAATGAAATGACTCTGTGCTTTATATTTAGAGGTTTTTAATTAAGGCTGAACTTTTCCCCCTTGGTTCATGGTGGTTTTCTGTATTTTGGTTACTTGCAGCTTAAGTTTCTGCCCAAAGGATTCAAACCCGTTTTATGGGCTTTCTGAAAAGTATTTTTTGTCTCATTTTTTCACTAATTATGGTTACATGGAAAATGTTTAAGTGATATATATTAGGTGAAGTTCTGTCCTTTTTTGTCTTGAATGAATGAGAAAGCTTATTATGAAAACAGATGGTTCTTGAACTACTCTTTCATTAGATATTTTTGATTTTCTCTAAAAACATCTTGGCAGCATTGTATATTATCTGAGCATGGCTTGAAAGATATGCTTTATAGTGATGACAGGTTGCAGCAGCATTCTGAACATGTGGCCCTCATTTCTAGAAGAGGTGGGGGAGGGATGGAAAAGACTAATTTAGGACTTATAGTAAAGTGAGGAGTGTGCAAGTGTGTGTGTGTGTGTGTGTATGTGTGTGTGTCACAGATTTGCACAGTATTGAAATTTAAGGAAGTTACTCAAGGGTGCTTGGTGGAAAACAAGTGATGCCTAAATATAGATTCATTGAGAATTTCTTAAGAGAGGTAAAGAGTGGTAAATGATTTAGGATCAGCTGATTTGTATTTTATCTGTATAATTTATTGGATATGGGCACCTCATTTGTATTCTTGTAATTATTTGCCAACATTAATCAATCATTTACTTTGCCAATTTTTTCCAAAATGGGGCTTCTACCATGCTGTGATAAGTGTATTAAGAATCAATACCCCCTTTTGTATTTCGGTGCTACTTTTCTTAGTTGAGCACACAAACACAAAGGGAAATCATTGGCTTTTTATGCTAGGCTGTAGTTGTATTCCGGTGCCTAAAGCTAAGAAAACTTTCTCTTTGTGCTCCAAGAGTAACTAAACCTCAAAGTCAAAGAAATGGACATGATGAATTGCTTCTTATTTACTTTCACCTATAAGCAATTGAAATAGATATTGAAAATGAAATAATCAGTCACTTATTTGCTGTCCAAATTTTTACAATTTAAAAACTTTTACTTTGGATTGATTTTGAAAAACTAATACCTTTTATACATAGTTCAGTGTTTCTAGTCAGACATTAGCCTTATAGTTCATTATATTCAAATTTAAGTGTTAAAATTATATGGAGAGAGAAAGAGGGAGAGTATAATTCAGTTACACCCTGTCCATCATGTTACAGACTGGTGTAATCTCATTGTTATGACTGCTCTAGGGCACTGATTGTCAGCAAGTTTCTATAAACCCACTGCTTTTGTGTGTGTGTGTGTGTGTGTGTGTGTGTGTGTCCATTTTAATGAAGCAAGAAAAACAGTGGTTACTTTTATTAATAATATGGGAGTAAAAAAAGTAAGGATGGTATTGTACTATTTTGAGCCATGAACAGTTTGTCCATCAACATGTGTGTTGATCAGTAATGTCTCAGGTGTAGGAATGTTTGAGCTACTTAAACTGATAAGATTTTTGTTAACCTAATGGTTCAGATTGTTCATATAGCTTAGACATGATAATTTCATTGTTAGTATGGAAAGGTATTTATCAAGCTTGATATGTTTATAAGACTTTCCCTGACAGACATTATTGGGGTTTAAGGTTTATAACCCTATGTAACATAGCCTTATTATGTTTTATAGTTGGGGTTGAATGGGGGTTAAAAGCTAATCTCTAAACATTCTTTAAGTAGTAAAAACAAATTGGAACCTTTTACCTTACGGCTTACGCTTACAAAAACCTACTCTTGGCTCAGGCAGAATGGTGTCAGTGTGTGTGTGTGTATGTGTGTACACTATGGAAAATGTAGAGTACTATATCAGTTACACCTGTTGGGTCCCTCCCCTAGTGGGTTACATAACAATACACAGACACTCATTACACTGGTCATTAGAGTCCTATTAAAGAAATGGATATGTTTGGCCTTAGATCAGCTTGATAAGAAAAGATAGATCAAGAAAGGAAGACTGTACCAACACATGAATGGAGGCTTACTGTCATGTGATTGTGCCTGAAAAGTACTTGGAAAACACTTATTGTGAGAATCTAATCATATGTGCACACTACTTAATATTAGCTGTATAGTAGCAATATGTGCAAACACAAAAGTTGTAAGTTTACTTTGAGATTGACAAAAAAAGGCAAACTGTTCTGTATATATGTAAAACATACCAAGGCAAATATGTTTGGAATGAATCATTGTATATAAGGTAGGAATATTCTGATAAACATTAATTATAGCCATGTAGTACATATTTTTAGTTGATCCTATTTTGACATGAACAAAGTCATAGATTGGCCTCCTATTTTCCAAGTTTCATCATTTTAGCCACCAGGGAGGTATTGCTCTAGTAATTTAATGCTTAATTAGAGACCTGATTTGATTAAACACATTTTCTCTGGACTGTGCTTGCTCTATGTCCTGCACAACTCAATTACTGTTTCAGTGTTTGCAGCAGATTCTCACATTTTTCCTTTGATTAATTAATTAATTAATCAAACAGACTGGTGTTCATGTTGAAAGGTATTAATTGAGTTACCATAGAACTTCATTTTGGTATCTTAGCACTAGGAAATACATATGTCATGTGTAATTTTATTATTTAGACATTTGGCAAGTGCATGTATGGAAATATTGTGAGTAGTCTGAGTAAGGTACTCATTACACTCTTACTGAACCTTATTGGATTGGTCTGTTCCTAAAATGAATTATTGTAGCATAACCTGGACCACTTGTCAGTAAAATGTATCTTGAAAGTTACATGAGGAATGCTGGTTAAAAGTCATGTTTTTGTTGTTTGTCAGTGGCAGCATTATAAAAAAAGATGGCACAAGATGATGTGCACAACAAAAGCAGTATTTTTAATCAAGAAGATGTAGCTACACATGGCGTCTTGACATAGTTGCAGTTGTTTTTATAACCTTTGTTCATGTTGTCAACTTTAATTTCTATTCAGAAAACCTAAAGGAGCAAGTGTTTATTGTAACAATGTGATGCAAGGCTAAGAACATGCTTGAACAGGAATTTCATGTAGGACATTTGGTAGATACTGTTTCAACTTTGTTTTTAAAGAGCTATTTCCTGGGGTGGGATTGAAAAAAACAAACTTTTTGTTAGGCATTGCACTGGCTTTCCTTAGGCGTTCCTCTCTCTCTCTCTTTCTTACACACACACACACACACACACACACACACACACACACACACACACATGCACAGATACATGTACACACACTTAGACCCACAACAAAGAGAGGTTTTCCAGACTGTCTTAAAAAGCACCTGATCGTCATAACATGCCAGACAATACATTGGCAAACAGAAATTGATTACTGAATGGTTGTCATTGACCCTGCTAGGGCCAAACCACCCTTGGTACTGATACTCATATCTTCACTAGATTTCACAACAAAAGGACTAATAAAAACAACAAATAAAATGACTTTGCCGTATATCAAAGTCAGTAGCAATTAAAACAGCTTCTTTTGTGGTTTGATGAACTGTTAAGAATGTCTTCGTCTGATGGTGCTTGATAGATGATGTTTTCTTTGTAGTTTTTCTTTTGTGGGGAAGCTCATTTGTTTAACATTCAAAGAGGTTTTTTGA